ATATCCCCTCTGAGCCGTCTCTTCTCCAGAGAAAACAGGCCCAGTTCACTCAGCCTCTGCTCGTACGAGAGATGTTCCATTCCCTTAATCATCCTGGTTGCCCTTCTCTGGACCCTCTCCAGAAGCTCCACGTCCCTCTTATACTGGGGWGCCCAGAACTGCACACAGTACTCCAGGTGCGGCCTCACCAGAGCTGAGTAGAGGGGCAGAATCACCTCCCTTGACCTGCTGGCAACACTCCTTTCTCCACCAGCATGTTGATACCATCTTTGCTCTGACAAGACCTCTGATACCACCTTCCTAGAAGCTGCAGCGGCACCTCACACCTCGCTCATGATTCTCATGTGGAGTGGAAGAGGGGACAAAGGTGCAACTGCTGCTGTCCATGAAGAACAACTGCTGCTAGAAGCAGTTATTTTGCTACCTTGAATCATCTTCCACCAATATTAACCCTATCACTCACAAATGTCCTTTTGTGTTGACAGGCATCACACATGTAAGTGACTGCAGAAGCAAGGCTTRGAAGGGAGCCAGGTGAACACTATTTGCTATGTTAGGAATCCTATTCCTCTCCTCAAGGGACTGAGGATCAGGTGAAAACACATCCAGTGGCTGGTAGTTCATAACTACTGGCTCGTTCTGGAAAACAGCATTAAGGATCTTTGTTAACAAGGATCTTTATAAYGTTAAAAAGAATTTTAATTTGAACAAGATGCAGCTTTAAGGGTTTTTTTTTTTTTTTWACGAAGAAAAACAACATTGTCATCCAACCTGGAGCAAACTGACAGGCCTCTAAGACAAACTGAAGATTCAGCCATTTGAATCTATTCAAAACAAAATGCCTTTTTGCATGTATTAAACAGGATGATGAAATACCAGGCGACAGCACAGGACACACTGAGGGTACACACACAACATTATAACCAAATTATCACCTTTAAATCTTTGCCTCGTTTGAGCAAAATTATGTCAAGAGGAAGCTATTTCCAACACCACTCTCTCCTGAAACAAGCTGCCAARGTAAATCTAACAAGTAAAAACTTTCACTAATAAAGAATAAATTTAAAAAAAAATCTTGAAATAGTGTTACTACCTTATTTGATTCCAAATCTGTAAACAGCCTTTCAAGTACTTCAGCAGCCTCCTTAAAATATCCTTTTTCCATATGGACTGCTACAACCTACAACCAAGATAGCTACATTTACAAGATAGTTTGAAATGCATTTTTGCCCAGATTTAGGAAAAAAAGTTTCAGCTGAATGAATTGGTAGCATCCTTAACAGTTTCTGGACAAGCCCCACAGACCTGAATCTGAATTAAGCGACGAATATCTTCATGAAGCTTGTCAGGGTTACTTTCTTCCCCTTCAAGCAAAGTCCAAACTGACAGAGCAGATTCCAAAGGCGAAATGCTTTTATCATTTTCAAAATGACAATCTTAGAGAGAAAATAAAAATTTAGAAAGCATTTAGCATTTAAGCAAAAATGTAAAGAAGATAAATATGTCATTATTCAAGCACAATGAAGTCATATGTACTTTGCATCATTTCAAATGCTTTTTCCTCAAAAAAAAAAATACTAGTCTCTCTCCCAAGTGTATTTAGGACAGGTGAATTATGTTCGTTATTTTCACCCCTGCAATTAACTATGCAATTCCATTCTTAAGGAAAGATGTCTCCGAAATTCTTAGTTTAAAATACAATTCGCAATAGTGCCAACTTCAGCATCATGTATTTGGGCTGACATTAATAATGCTTTTACAATAAGCTCAGCATCAGATACTAAAACATTTGCTATCACTACAGTAAATTCTGTAACACAACTACTTTTCTCATTTCCCAATGTGTATCTTTATCTCTTAAAAAAAAAAAAGCTGCAAGTCTAGAGAGAAAAAAAAAAATCAAGCAAGGTAACACAGCATRGCAATAAAAGAAACAAGTAAGCGTAACCACCCACGTCACCCCATCTGCTGTGCTACCATGAATGTCTATGCCAGTTCCCAGCAAGCAGGGTCAGTGACAGCATCTGGAGAAGACCTAGCCCGAACCACGAGCCTTTCCTTCCTCCCTCTGCAAGCATTTTCCAGGCTCCTCACTGCACATCTGCCCAGATGGGTGTGCTGGCAGAACAGATGTAGAAGAAGCTGGCAGGTGCCAGGAACTGCTTCTCTCCCTGATAGGGCCAGCTTAGCTCACCGTGTTCACTCAACTACAGCTGCTCTTACTCCTACCTTCTACATAACATCATACCAGAATCTTTATTTCTCCTTATTCCTTACAGCAGTCAGGATCACTTTTTTTTTTTTTTTTTAATAGACAGAGGACAAACAATTAGCAAGACTAAATCAAATATTTGGTATCAGCTGTAAGATAACTCAAAAGGCAAAAATCTGAGTAGTATAAGTCCCTCTGCCCCCACAGAGGTCTTTTTAATCTTTGTTTCACTCAAGTGAATTTGACACTTCCCTATAGTCATACCCTTAAGTGCTATATAGAATAACAGTTTTAATGCCAACCTATAGACTTTTCATAATTTGTATGTGATGAACAATTATATTAAATAATTTGATTCTGAAGTTGAACTAAGTACAGTGTTATTACYTGACAATCACCACAAGAAACTGTTTTGTAGCCACAAGCCTCTAAAACTACTCCWTTTTTTAATCTCTGCTTGTGCTAGAAAGATTGCTTCTGAAGKCCCTAAATTCAAATGAGCTTTAACAAGCAGTGAGAATTTGCAGAGAAAGTTAAGTATGCCAGAAACCTGAGCACAAAAGCAGAATCAGTAGTTAGTGAACATGGCCAAACAGAAGGCTACAGTGCCTRTAACTCCCAAGGAGCTGCTGTCTGAATCTCCTATGACCTTCTTCAAAGGGGAAAGGCACTGCTTTTCATTCATATCCTCACACACAACATAATCTTGAGATTTGCATGTGAAGAAATACAGACTCTCTACTTTACATGTGCAGTTATGCTCACTAAGAGCTAGTCGGTCTTTTTTAATGAATCTCTTCTGTTGATGCTATTGTGGCAAAAAGCCCTGTGATTTACAAACTACAGAAGCATTCAAACCTCACAGCTATTTAATCAGGTAGCCCAGATTATCACCAGTAGTGCATAAGCTCACTTAGCTGTACTTTCATATTGCTCATGTTCCACAGGTATTCCAGGCATCTTATTTACCTAGTAATAGCTACATGAAAGCATATCAAATACACCTTTATACAAGTTCATGGAAATAATCTACTTCAGCGAAACTGGAAAACAAACAAGCAAACAGGAAAAAAAAAAAAAATCAGAATACTTACCAAGTCTTTTTCCTTTTGAAATTCTTGTCAAAAGTTGGCAGACATACACCGTTTTTTTCTGATGTGCAGCTACTTTGGAGAGGTTATTAATAACAGCTGGAAAAGAAGAGAAAAAGATAAGTCACTCTTGTTCCAGCAGTGCCACAGTGTGGCTAGAGATACATCACAGAATCTGGTGCAAGACTGAAAATACTACATYGGCTTTCTAAGGAATTGAAATTAGGGAGATTATTAGTTAATTTCCTTCAACATCAGAAGAATTTAAATCACATTTAAACAACTTGACCAGAAAAAAAAATATTCTTGTTGACAGGAGCAACATAAAAGCAATTAGAAACACCACAGGCATAAGTCATTCAATCAGGTGTCACAGTATCATACATAAACAAAGTCTTATTTTGCTTAGTAGCTTATGACGAAAGGCAGAAGGGTCTGTTTCAGAGAATATTTCCAAGGAATGTCTACAAAACAGGCAGCATGAGGAGCACACAGGCTCCAAACACTTCGCTTTAAAGTTGCTGGGACAACTGACAGACAAAYCAACAAAAACCGCACTGAAACACAAGCCCACAGGGGCAGCCCACCTTGTAAATCAGCAAGGTCGCAAGGGTAATTATACATTTTAGAAGGGGAGCTATCAGGAGATTATCATCATTATACTGATTACTGAGCACTTCATATTCTACTGTGTTGCATATTGCAAGYGATTTACCTTCCGAGCATTACAGTGAAACACTCAAACACGACTAGAACATGTCAAGCAGATCCAACATCCTAATTCTGGTGTGTGTTTCAAAACAAAAAACACCCACCCACACACATCTAGCACATGGGACCCTCAAGCTTGCACTAACACAAGCAGAGCTTTTACTTGGGAGCGCTCAGCCTACTTCTTAGTAGTGTACAAGAGTCTCCCAGGAGCAATGGATGCACTCGTACACTAATTAAAAAGCCCCCGACTGATCATGAAATCTAATATCAAGGAGGTTATTGTCACTTCAGCTTCAAAGCACTGCAATTCTACTTCAGTAGATACAGGAGACAACAGCTGTTAATAGGTACATTTTAAGAGTTAAAATAGCAATTAAAAGGATATTGTTSAGCATAACGGTGAAGTGTCTCTGTGATCACAGATCCCTACAGTATTCAGACCAAACAGGGTCCAGCTTTAGAAAATACTTGACTAAGGAATTTAATGGATGGAAAGAGCTATCATCATGTCCTGAAGATGGAGCCAGAGCTAAGAAATTTTTGAGGCAGACTGAAAACCACAGTCGAAAGATTTCACAGGACAGAACCTGTCACATTGGCTTGGTCTTTCGGGTTTCTTTGCTCCTCCTTCACTTAAGGCGCGCACACACACATTAGTGCTTCAATTCAGATGAGCAGTGCATTTTTAAAGCAAAATGTCTTGGGTTTTGGGTTGCATGATGAAGTAGTCTTGAGTGCACTAAATTTCCTTTTACATGAAACTAAACTGGAAGGCCATGCTCCAGCTGCATTCAGTTCATGCGACAGAACAGAACTATTCCAAAAAGAAAAAGAGTAATAGACAGCAGACAGTAGAAATGTTAGATCCTAAGCACCAATTGCTCACAACTAATACAGGCTAATATCAGCATGTGCCTGTAGTAAGCTCTTCTAGAAATCTCAGTTTTTATTAAGAGAGCATTTTATATCCATTCATTCTTTCATTAACTGTATCCTTAAGTTGGTCTTCAGTTGTTTCCCTGCTTGTGGTGATAAACGCACTTCTTAGCTTTCATTAAAATAGTAGAAATGCAGATATCTCAACAAGGTAGTTGAGACCGTTAAGCAAGGCCTGCAGCCCTGCCACCACACTGKTATAAAAGCTACCCTGAGATCCCAGAGCTAGCCCAGCTATTTCTCCTTGGCAGTTCAGTGACRTTTGTATCAAAAGCATTCATCTATTCAAAAAGTGCCTTGTTTCACTGTTTTTCCTACTATCCCATTTCTGCTCTTGCTCTGGCTCAAGTCAGCCTGCCTGCTGATGGGTAACCAGAACTGCTTGCAGCGAGGTCTCAATCCACCTTGTGCAAAGCAGTATTTTTTAGTTCTACTGAAAATATTTTCCAATACAGCCTCATTTCTGTACTTTGCTTTTTCCATGGCCTGTTATGCTGATGACTTAGTCATCCTGTAACATCAGTATGCCCCACTTGCCTCTATTTCATTCTGAAGTTATATAGAAACTTAGCTATTAGGTTGCAATTCCACATGTCCCTGCATTCTGTAGAATCGCTTCTACTGACAGTCCTCAAGAGTCTTCCCATTCTTGTCAGATATTCCAATCTGCTTGTGCGTTGATAACACCTCCAYTTTCTAAAACCATCATGACTTTTCTTTACTGTGCTCCCCCTGAACCCTAGACCACTGATGAGCACCATTATTAACTTAACCCAACAGCCTCCCTTCAACACACCTCATCATTTTATCTTTACATTGCTTAGCCCTCAGCTCCTTATATCAGTCTCCTCACTAGTCATATCCTGCATGACACCATATTCACTTATTACCAAAATTCTAAACAAGCTGTGCTGCCACCTTTACTCTGGCCAAGAAAAAGGTGATTACCTGATTATCTTTAGTAGAGTGATTTGTAACAGGAAGAAAAACAAACAAACAAAACACACACGCACACACACAAAAAAAATACCCAGAAATAAGCAAACAAACCCCATCAATCACCCAAAGATATCCAGACTCCACTATGTGTCACTGTTGCTGGTACTGTGATAAAGCCTCAAAACTGCCTCATATCATCCTGGGTGCTAAGCCGAAATTCTCAGAAATTCTGAAGACATCCAGAAACCTAGTGACTGTGATTATTAGCAGGCTAACCAGGAATACTAAGTCTGCTTGTAAGTCGGCCAAAAATTAAAGGTGGAAACAGGCAGGGGTGCTACAGAAAAGATAATCCTGAAAGGTGCCCTTTTATGTTTTCATTTGAGAGGTACAACCTGCAGACCTCAGAGTTGTGACTCGCTCTTCGCCAGAAAAGCTGCCCTAGCAACACAAGCGCTTCCTCAGGCGCACTRCGCGTGCGATACGAGCTGCTGCCCTCTCAGTTATAGCCCAGGGTCACAAAGATCCCCTCGAAGGGGCCCGCGCGACGCAACGCGCCCGCTCACCCTGCGCCAGGTCCCTGCAGCGGCGGAACTCGGCGGCGCGGCCCTCGCGGAAGTGGCGGCACAGGCAGTAACAGGCGAACTCGAGCACCCAGTCGCCCACCAGGGCCTCGGCCTGCGCGAGCCGCGCGGCGGGCRGCGGAGCGCGGGCGCCSCCGCCGCCGCTCGCGGCCATGTTCGAACCGTGCGCCAACGGCTGCGGGGCGGGGCAGGAGGCGGGGGGAAGCGCCGATTGGTTGAGGCGGCGCCGCGCTGGTTTTGAGCAGGAGCAGGGGACGGTGACGTCATCGACCCCGCCGCCAGAGGCGGTGTGGGTTGGCCTGACCGTTAGGGTGGTTGCTCCGGGAGCGGAGGGCGCGTGCGCAGTGCGGCCGTTGGGCGGGCCGTTGGTGCGCGCGTCAGCGGCGCCTCTGGGGGCGTTCCGCTTGCTGCGAGCTAAGTAAACGGTGCGGTCGGGTGGTGTGGGAGGAAGTTGAGATCTGGTTAACRTGTTTAAGTAGATGAAGGGAGAATGTAGGGGGGAAGGGGCCAAGCTCTTCTCAGTGGTGGCCAGTGGCAGGACAAGGGGCAATGGGTGTAAGTTGCAACACGGGCAGTTCCATCTGCMTGTGAGGAAGAACTTCTTTCCTGTGAGGGTGACAGAGCCCTGGCACAGGCTGCCCAGGGAGGCTGTGGAGTCTCCTTCTCTGGAGCTCTTCCAGACCTGCCTGGATGCCGCCATGTGCCCCGTGCTCTGGGTGTCCCTGCTGGAGCAGGAAGGTTGGACTGGATGATCTCTAGAGGTCCCAACCTTGAACATTCTGTGATTCTGTGAAATCCTGCTTTGGAGTGAGGAGCTGTGAGAGCTATGGTGCTTTAGTCTGAGAGACGAAATATAGCAAAGTATACATTGCATTAAAAAAAAAAATACCCCTTTGAAAAAAAGGACTTCACCTAAGAAGCATGTCTTTATGTGCATCCCAAAGATAAAGGACTTTTCCTGTAAAGATGCTTCAGCTGCAACTCACCTCCCATCCATAAATGACTTTTTTTTTTCCTTTCCCAATTCATTCTTTGTTGTTCTAAGATACTGTGGGCTATGCCAGTATTAGTAAAATAAGGAGGTACTGCCACTGTTCTCTGGTCTCAAAGGCAGGTGGCCTGATATAGAGCCTGGACCTTAACTTTTCCACACCTGTGGGTGCTCCACATGCAGTTCCTAGCAAATTAGAGCTGTGGAAAGTGAGCTATGTTTGATGGTGTCAARCAGGTTATCTTGGAGGGGCTTCATAAGAAAAGTAATAGTCCTAAGCTATGATTTTTATCTTATTTTCATGGTGTTCTTAACTAGAAAAGAGGTGCAGTACGATAGCATTTATATTGCTGTTGAACCTTTTGCATTTTTTAACATATCATTAACAATATTGCATTACATTTGTTTAGAATTATTCCCTGGATTTTATGAAGAACATAAATATGGGGAAAGGAGTGGTATATAGGATACAGGTAGCCTGAAATACAACTTTCCTTTACATAGGCTTGGCAGAGTTCCCTGGAAGAATTTAGAGATTTTTAAGCTGGTGTGACAGACTGATCAAAGTTCATAAACTCTGCTACAGTTTTGGAGTAGGAATTWTTCTTGCTTCCTCTGAAAATAGCTGGATATCAAGTGTTGTCCCAACCTACTGTTTGCTTCACTAATTATATTTTGCACTGTTAGATGCACCATTCTAGAATACACTCTTTTACTCCAGGAGTTTGAGCACCCTTTCAAAACAAAAAGAAAAAAAAAAAAGAAAAAAAAAGGTGGTGGTTTCCTTGTGTTGAAAACCTTTCTTTTAGATCGCTGTGGAAAGAGACCTTTCACATTTTTACTTTACTCCAACCAGAATAAAGAGTTCTGTAAAAAATACTTATGAAAGAAGCTAGCAAGGTGAGAACATGTACACTGAAAACTCCAAGCCTCACAGAGAGCACGCGGTGGTATTTTGTGATCTTGTAATAYGGAGTTTTTTTCCTTATATGTCTTCATTGCCTTTGAGGCACACATTTAAAGAAGTTKCTGGGTTTTTTTAGGCTTGTTGGGTGGCAATGTTTGTTGCATAGTAAAGCTTATTCTTGTTTCAAAAGGYGTGATTTTTTCCTGAGTGCTGTATCATAGGCTCTTGTTTTGCCTTATTGGCAGTGCTGAGCCTTGAGAGTGGCTGAGTGCACTATAGATTGAGATCCATTAAAATCCATACAACTGTAAAACATAAATATATTTATAATGATGGTWATAAGGTATTGTTTGCAATTATTTTGAGCAAACATGAAAGAGATGATTTTATACTCTCAATACATGATTAATCAGCCAAAAYGCTGTTTTACTATAATGCAACTCATTAAATCAGTTTAATGGTAATAGTTATTCAATATAGAATGACTGAAAAATCCAAGTAAGAGAGCCTCAAAATTCAGTTAAAAGGATATTACTGAGGTGGTTCAACATATTTAGAAATAAAGGATCAGACCAAAGTTTGATGGAGATATCCTGTCAGAGATAACAGATCTTGGGAAACCACATCTGTCTAGAAAATACAGAAGCTTTTCATTCAGTGAAGGATTTTATTTATAATTTTCTCAAGATTAAGTGAGGGAGATACCATTTAGAAGTTTCATAGGTTTATTGGCATTATTACTTAGCCAATCATTCAAAAGTAATTAGATGCAAAAAATTCTTGAAAGAAAAATTTGATGGAGCCCTGAMAGGTGACACTGCTCTGCAACAGGAGATAGTTACAGCTCTGCAGCAGTTTCTCTCTTTCCCTAGTCCTCTGGAAATGCATCTCTTGTGGATTCGAGTGGTTTGGACTTCGTAGGCAGAAGTGGCAATTCTGAGGTGATGGCTGCGTTCTGTRCCACCCCATGCCAGGTGAGTGCTGGCATTCCTGAGCTGAGCTACAAAGCCARAATTCCTATTTGCAAACTGTTTGGGAGACGTGGAATTCGCTGCAGAAGCTTGTGGATGGAGTCTCTTGGTTCTAAGGTGACAGATTCCTTAGAGGAATCTGATCAATGGGAAGAAAAGAATTTTCTGACTTGGATGAGGAGTTTCTTGCAGCCTGTTCAGGAATAGGGAGTTATCTAAAACACGTCCCCATTTTCCTTTCCTAATTTTAGGTTATTTGCCTCAATATTGTAGATCTCCTCTGCTTTCATTGTATATACCTGCATGTCATGGTTTGAATGAAAATATTGAAACTTGATATCTTATATTGTGAATACTATTGGCACTTCTAAGATATTTGGGGGATATCAGAAGATTAAACAAATTTTTCTTTGTATACTTTAAATAATAAATGTCTAAACAGATCATTAAGCTCATATGGGTATGAAAAAATAAAAGCTGCRTTATTCTCACTTAATACAATACAAAAGGGAATGTAGCACTATATCCAGATTGGTTCTAGAAGCATACTTGGCATTAAGCCATCACTAGGCCTGGTGAGCTCAGGTTTAGGGCTAGGGTTAGGCCTAGGGTTAGGTCTTGGGTTAAGAGAGTGAAAAAACCTTGCAAATCACCTGCATTGGACTTCTGGAGGGTCGACTTTGGACTGTTTAGGACATTGCTTCGGAGAGTCCCTTGGGAGACAGTGCTGAAGTGCAAAGGGGTCCAGGAAGTCTGGATTTTTCTCAAGAAGGAAATCTTAAAGGCTGAGACCAACTTTATGAGATACAACATGGCCAAGTGCCAGGTCCTGCACTATGGTCACAACAACCCCACGCAACACTACAGRCTTGGGGCAGAGTGGCTGGAGAGCTGTGTGGCAGAAAAGGACCTGGGTGTGTTGGTCAACAGCAGTCACATGAGGCAGCAGTCTGTCCAGGTGTCCAGGAAGGCCAACGGCCTCCTGGCTGGCATCAGGAACAGTGTAGCCAGCAGGACCAGGGAGGTGATTGTCCCCCTGTACTCGGCTCTGGTGAGGCTGCATCTCGAATCYTGTGTTTAGTTTTGGGCCCCTCACAACAAGACATTAAGGTGCTGGAGTGTGCCCAAAGAAGGGCAACGAAGCTGGTGAGGGGGCTGGAGCACAGACCTTATGAGGAGTGGCTGAGGGAGCTGAGGTTATTTAGTGTGGAGGAGACTCGGGGAAACCTTATCCCTCTGTACAACTACCTGAAAGGAGGCTGTAGCGAGGCAGGGGTCGGTCTCTTCTCCAGAATAACTACACATAGGACAAGAGGAGATGCCCTCAAGCTGTGCCCGGGGAGGTTCAGGTTAGACATTAGAAGAATTTCTGTATGGAAAGAGTGGTGAAACTTTGGAATAGGCCACCCAGGGCAGTGGTGGAGTCGCCGTCCCTGGCAGTGTTCAAGAAACGTGCGGATGAGGCACTTAGGGACATGATTCAACACGGTTGGAATCAATGAGCTTGTAGGTGTTTTCCAACCATAGTGATTCTATGATTCTATATTCTGAAATGTTTAGAGAGACATAAATAGAGACATATACTATTGTATTTATAAAAGGGGCAGAGAATATGAACTAATAATTAATCATACCAGAAAAAAMCATAGAATTTGAGATTCAGTTGACTGGATAAACTGAATGTGCTGCTGTTATCAACATATACTTTCAAACAAAGGAGAATCATTTACTGTTGTTTAAATAGTGGGAAGTCAGATGTTGCTAAACATGTATTATTTATAACACTGTTTTCTGTAGCTACTGTGAAAGTTTATTCATGGGGGCAGGTAGTGCCTCTGAACATAAGCACAGTGATAAAAGTAGGTTGTCCTGATCAGACATAGCACAATGAATGTCAAATTAATTTGTAACATTACTACACTCCTGGAATYGCAGTTTTATTCATTCAGAGCTCAAGATACAATCCTGAGAGTCCCTGCGATTTAATTCTAGTGAAGCCGTGATTAAAACTTTGAAAGAGAACAAGACGTGCTGATYATTCAGAATTCACACTCAGGGCTCCCTGCGGGGAAATAGTCAAGTGAAAYGTTTCTCATGGATGCTGGAGGTAACTACACAATTTAAACAGTGGTGCCTATTTTATTTTTTTTTTCTTTTTCCTTGGCTAGAATGAGGATTCAGAGATATTATGAAAAAGAATCTATAACTACTGTTTTCTGTTATTGTTTAACTCTATGGATTTATACATACATATATATACACTTATTAAGTTCTATATTTCTTGT